TAAACTGCAGAAAAGCTGATGGCTGTTTTGTGTTCTCAGAAGGGGTGAGAATAAACTGAAAATGGTACTTAAGCTACTTGCTGTTCTTTAGCAGTTTAGGTGCCTGAACTTTAAAAATAAACCAGTAACTGGGATGATTTCATTATAGAAAATTCCACCAAATTTTTAGGGATCATCGAGGTCAGGATTCTTTTCCCTATATGTCTAACACAAACAGAGGACCAGGTAAATTCTGTGCTCTATCAACTTCGGAATTTACAGTTTTGTGAGAGGTTGGAACTAGATATATGATGTTATACTGTAGGTGTACTTCTTTCAGGCAAGGTATGGGGTGTATGATATTGAAGTGAGGCACATCAAACGAAGGGTAACCCAGGCCTTCTGCACAGCAGCAGCTCACAGGCACATCTTGCTGCAAAAGGCTCCAGCAGGTGCTGTGATTCGCATGACCCCACCATTATCTCATGAGATTGTGGGAAGCTAAAAACTTGCAGTCTGTATGGGTTCATGCAGTCATGCTCTCACATCACTTGTCTTCCCTTTCGTGCTGAAGGGGGTGCAAAGCTGGGCTCATGGGCCACTTCTCTTATGGGATAATCACACGTCACATGCCTGTGTGTGTATTTTATCAGTGAGTCCTGTTGCTCTCTAACAGCTAAGCAAGGGAAAGGGTAGCACAGTGTAGGAAGTGTTACTTTGGCCAAAGGAAATATTTGCATATAGAAGAATACTCTCATGGAGAGCCCCACAGAGCATCAGGAGAAATATCTGGTTTTGTGTTCAGGTGCGTAGATTCAATTAAACTTAGTTACCAGCAGGATGAGAAGGGATCCTCAGTCATGTTAAGAGAGTTCTTAGTAGCTTTTTAGTAGGTTTTATGTATATCTACAAGTAAAATATGAAAAGTCAGACCAGATGGCAAATATATGTGGATACCCATGCAATATAAAGCTTTGTCCTGAATACAAAATACCTGCTTTCCAGATGCATACAAAAAGCTGTTTGAAAAACCCAGTGTGATCATCAGATCCATGATGGTTTGATCAACAAAGGCCAACACAAGTTAGGGTGCCAGTTTTGATGGGTAATAACTCGCCTATGCTCTTTCCAGCAAAGAGATGAAACGTGAATTGGAAAAACCAGTAAGCTGCTCCAGGGCTTGTTCCAGTTTTTAATGCTGGACATTTAGCACACAGAAATCCTACTAACTTGAGTGACAAAACAAGCGTTGACTCAGAAACAAGTTTAAATCTTTAACTGAAGAGGATGTGGATGTGAGCCAGCTCCTCATTTCAGCCTTTTGCCTCTGACTGTGGTTGCTCATTTAGTTTGACCTCGTGTGTGAGGATTCCTGGAAGTTGGACCTCTTTCAGTCTGCTGTGAATGCTGGGTTTCTTATTGGCTCCGTAGTCATTGGCTACATCGCAGACAGGTATGTGTGGGCCGACAGCAAAATCCTCTGACCTCCCTTATTGGTGTTCAGCAGCCAAACTTGTGCAGCTGATATAATCTCTGCTCTTCTCAAAATAAGGCCGGCCACCTGGATGTTTAATCACAGTGTGAGGAGCAAGTACCCTGCTTCTTGGGTTATACTTGGCGGTTGGCATAGATCTGCTCAGTGAGTCCTGCAAAGCCTGCAAGGATTATTTTAGTACTGTACACCCCAAACTTCCTACTGTGCCACATCAGAACCCTGGAGTGTTGACCAAAGCCAGGAATTGCTGTTTTGAAGCTCCCACTTATCTGTTACACTCTGTGTGGCTACAGCTTGGGATCATCTTGCTTCCTTTGGAGAAACTTAGAAATTGTTTGCAGAGAGATTGCCAGATGGGTGCAGCAGCAGTCACTGTGAAAAAGCAGAAATCTCTTTAGCTGTTCAGAGCCAGCAGAGTCAAACTCCCTAATTCAGGCACCTGGCATTAAAGAGGAACAGCTGCCAGGATCTGATGACCCATTTTCCTCCTTGTTCCCCTCTTGCCTAGGACTGTTAAAATAGCAGGCTCTGAGTTGCTTCAGCTGTGAAATGCAGCTCCCTTATAATGAGATCCACACGTACTAGAGTTTTGAAGATTAAGATTGTGGTATATAAACCCTTTATAAATCTAGTAATAATACCAACTTATTTTTTACCCCCAATATAATATATGTAAATATGGAACTATTCTTTCTTTTCTGAAAGTTATTGCAGAATTGCAGAGCAACTGTGACAAGAACTTTTCATAGATTAGAAAAGCAGATAAATGAAGAATGAGCAGAGGATAAAAGCATGTCTCTATCCCTTGTATAGCAAAATTGGATTTTTTTTCCCCTCAAAGATACACAAAACTCTTACTACTTTAAAATGCCTGTGCTTTCATGACTAGTGGTTTGCTTCATGCATATTATTTTCCAATCCAGGTTTGGCCGTAAATTTTGCCTCTTAACCACAATTTTTGCAAACATTATCTGTGGAATCCTTCTGGTCTTTGTGCCCACCTACCTGTGGATAGTCATCATCCGGTTCCTGCAAGGGCTGGTCAGCAAGGGCTGCTGGACTGCAGGCTACATCCTGGGTGAGTTCCAAAACTTCTCCCAGGCATAAGACTATCTGTAGAAGATAAAGGGAAAACCTCAACTAAAAAAAACCTGAACAAAAACCATTAAAAAAATGCCTCCCGTGGTGTTATATCAAGGAGTTTTCTCCCTCTTTGACTTCTCAAGATTTTTTCAAGAACTGTCATTAGGGAGGAACAATAGTAGCTTTCAAAGCTCCATCAAGTTGTGGTATATGAGGGCTGTTACCTTGAGACAGGCTTTTTTCCTATGGCACAGCTCACCTTTGCAGATCTGGGCACCTGGGCTCCTCTTCCTCCCATCGTGCTCTGGCTGGGGAAGGTGATGGCTCCAGGCAGATTGCATCTGCTCCAGACAGGATGATGACAGAGGAGGCAGGAAGAGGGTGGGGAAAAGCAGAGGCATTTTTATGGCACAAAGAGCATTAAAGGCCAAACAGAGGCTTTGCAGCCTAAAAATAACTGTAGAAGAACCTGTAGCCTGTACTTGCTGAGAAAGACAAAGTGTTTGTATACCTGTGTATCCACTTGTCTGAATGGAGGCTAAGCCATTAGAGGAGCCAACCTCTGTGGATGCTTCTCCCAGTGCCCTGCACCAATTGTATCTGGTGGTGAAGCACTGCTGTGTGGCCAGGTTGGGTTCGGGGCCATCTCAGGACCATTTTCTGGTGCAGGGTGGAGCTCCCTGTGATTTCTCTAATTTCTCTGGAATGGAGTTCAATCCCTTGTATGAAATACCCAATACCAAGCAATCACTCAAGCAGCAGATTAATTATTTTAAATGCTGACTAATAGAGCCTTATCTGGACTAGGACATCAGGTGGCTCTACCAGATAGCTCTGAGTGATACGGTTCACAGTGATAGTGGTAAAAATGTAAATGTCAATGCCCTAAGCCTCCATTAAGTCTTTTAGTGGGGACATCTTACTTCTGCAGTTATATAGTGTCTGGTATAAATAAAACAAAAGCACCTATCCCACAGTGCAGACTATCTTCTGCTAAGGCATAATTACTCTTTCCAGTGCATTTGTAGATACTTGCTTGGCCTCTTAAATCTTTTCTTTCCACAAATGAAATCCTCATCATCTCTTCTGGGGAACTTTATGCTATTTCAGAGCACAAAGTCCCTTTCAAGACAATGACTTGCCCTGTCCTGATATTTTCCCTCAGTTACATCTTATTCTGGATTCTCTTGAAACTCTCTCATAAAAAAGATGTCACCCAGAATCAGCCCTGAAGGCCCCTAAGGGTGGCCAATAATGCTTGCCCAGGGAAGGGCACAAGGACAGAACAACCTTGTTACCCTGCTCTCCTGGGGCACTTGTCTACACTTCAGCTGCCTTTGGCTCAGTCCTACTGAGCCTGAGGAGATGTCTTTGTGCATTATTTGGCCAAGCAGTATTAGATAATCTGTAATTCCAAAACTCAGCGCTTCCTTTAGTTGCTTAATAACTGCTCTCTGCTACTTTCCTAATTAGTTTGCTTTCTTGAAATCATACAACTGCACACAAAATGTTGAGTGCACATATGCCTGCCTGCTGGAATAGTTACTTTTAACTCTGTATCAACAAGACTTAGTCTGTGGGTCTATGTTTTTGATGTGGAGTTGCAAAGTGCAGATGAACTGTGATACCATCCTGACCAAGGAGCTCTGTGCCATCCTGTGATGCAGGCTTGCATGCTTGGAGTGAGATGCAGGCTGAAAGCTGGCACTTTGGAAACAAAATATTCTGCTTTGTTTTTATGTTGGAGACATTGTGTATGTTGGCATTAGATTATACAATGAAATTGTCTGTGCACTTTGTCAAATGCTTGTTTTACTCAAAGATCTCCATGACAGAGGACAGTACTGAATGTCTTAGGCCAGTATAAGACCTGGAGCGGTGTTTTCTTCTTTGCTGAAGTTTGGGTGACAGAAAAGCAAACCTTTCCCTATAAGCATTAGGGGATTTTTTTTCTGGAGACATGCTGGGAAGCCCATGATTAACCAAGATGGTTTCTTCAAGGTGTTAATATGGCACTGGTCTTCCAGTGTCCCCACACAGCAAGTTACTCCTGTGCTGGGTGGTTGTGGCATTCACCTGTCTTTGTGCGTGTTTGCAGTGACAGAAGTTGTCGGTCCACAGTACCGGAGGACGGTGGGCATCCTCTACCAGACGGCCTTCTCCGTTGGGCTCCTGGTCTTTGATGCCATCGCTTATGCCATCCCTCACTGGCGGTGGCTGCAGCTCACTGTCACTCTGCCGACCTGCTTCTTCCTTCTCTACTACTGGTAAATGGGCTTCTGTTGTACCTCTGCCCACAATCCCAAAACAAACCAGCTTCTCCTGCTTCTGAGGCTTGATACTGAAAGAGACTTGGCATTCCTTCTTGGTTGTGCACACCTCTGGGTGCAAAGAAGAGGTTCACAGCAAAAAGGAGAGGGAAATATAAGATGCCTCAGCAACTGAGACCTTACTGAATCCTAGCCTGGGCACCTGACCTGACACGTATTTTAAAAGACAGATCTCTTTGAAAAACACTAGAGGAAAAGAAAATTAATATAATTTATTTTATTTAAGCATTTCATAAAGGAAAATAAGTCCCTTGGCATAATTTAGCGGACTCTACACTGAAAATATGGTTGAGATATTGTCTAATGCTAAAATAACTGTAGCATGTTGTTAGCACGTTATTTTAAGGAAAAAATTTGCAGGTTTTTGCGGTCCAATCAAAAAAAAAAAAAAGCATGTGGACTCACCTTAATTTTTATTTCTCCTTTCTCTTTTTAATTGATTTTTTTGTTTGTTTGAGTGCTTTGGATTTTATAAACTTTCTGGATGTGTCAAGGGGTTAGGAATAGTAGAAAAAAAATGTTGCCTTCTTCCATATTTTTGAGTTGGTAAGCCAGTTCTAGCTTATTTACTATTTCTTAACCTGTAATGCCAGAACTGAAAAATGGCTCTCCAAGAAGAGCCGTTTGTGGTGAATGGGATGGTTAAGATGATTGGGTCATGATATTGGCCACCTTTCCCTGATTTATCCTTAATAAACTCTTCTTTGATTAAAGTCACTACCTCAACTGCTTCTCTTCTAATCTCAGCTGTGGGATATACTACTTTTTCCTGATTGTGGAAGTGGGAAGTAACAAACAAAACCCACCCACCTAAACAGAAAAGCCATCTGCCTCAATTCAGTCAAAGCACTCTCTCCATACATGGAAGCACTGTGTGGGCTTTATGTTTTGGTATATAATGTCATCCACTTGTGTTGCAGGTGCCTCCCAGAGTCTCCCAGGTGGCTGATATCTCAAGGAAAAAATGACAAAGCTATGAAAATTGTCAGTGATATAGCTAAAAAAAATCAGAAAAAGTTGCCTTCCCATTTTGAGGTGAGCTCAGGGTTTGCTTATGCATGTAAATAAGCATCACCTTCTATCAGTTCC